TCCTGTGCCTTGCCCTGCTGTCCTGTGCCATGCTGTGTCACGCGGTGCCGTGCTGTGCCGTGCTGTGCCACCTCTGCGGCGTAGTGTGCCTGGCTGAGGTGGTTGCATGCTTCACTGTGCCATGCCGCGCTCTCCCAGGACACTGTTTGTGTCCGAGCACAGCACGGTCTTGCTGGGTTATGCCATGCTGTGCCATCCCAGGGTGCAGTGTGTGTCACCGAGGGACCTGCCAACTCTGGCTGTGCTGTCCCCTGGGCTAGTGTTGGTCACCTACCCCTGGTATGGGAGGGGGTGTAGCCAGCACCCCCAGCTCTGTCCTGCTCTGCCATGGGAGGGAAAGGTGCTGGCCCAGTCAGTGCCTGTGCCACCAGTCCCAGCTGCTGCCTACAGAGGCCGTGCCAGCCCCAAATACCGCAAGTTGGGGGGCTGGGGGGGCATGGCTCAGCACGGCCCAAGGTGCCAGCACAATCCCTGGTCCCCAGTGTGATCTGCAGGGCCTGTGGAGGAACGAGCTGGGCTCCAACATGACCCTCTCAGCCCTGGACGCATCCGGCACCTTCTCGGGCTCCTACCACACCGCCGTGGCAGCCACCAACAAGCAGATCCTGGTGTCACCTCTGCAAGGGGCCCAGCAGCACACCAGTGCCAAGGGGCAGCAGCCCACCTTTGGCTTCACCGTGCAGTGGCAGTTCGCAGGTACTGTGGTACCCAGCACAGCATCCCGCAGCAGCCAGAAACCCCCTGCCCATGTGGGGAGCCTGTGCTTGGTCCCCCAGTACTCTTGGTACCCAGAGAAACCCTGGCTGTGACCTTGGTCGGAGTGGAGTGGGGGCTCTGTCTGGGGTGGGTAGCAGGGATGTCTGCCTGCCTGGGAAAGGTGGTGGGGGTGTCCATCTGTCTGTCCAAGGGACACGGCAGGGGTGGTGTCCATCTACCTGTCCAGATGATGTGGAAGCAACCCACCTGGGCAATATGGCAGGAAGTCATCAGTCTATCCAGGGCATGTGGTGGGGTGTAGCTCTCTGTCTGTCTGGCAGGATCAGGTGGCTGAGGTTCCCCTGTCTGGAGGCGCGGGCTCTGAGCCCCCTCTACCCCACTTGAATCCCACCAGACTCCACCACTGCCTTTGTGGGCCAGTGCTTCATGGACCGCCGTGGGAAGGAGACGCTGGAGACTGTGTGGCTCCTGCGGGAAGAAGTCCCATCCCGCAGGGACTCCTGGAAAGCAACCAGGTGAGACCTGACCCTGCCCTCCTACCCCACTGCCCTGACTCCACCCCTGCTGACACGGCTTCCCTGCAGAGTGGGCACCTCCATCTTCACCCGCATCAAGTGATGGGGACAGGGACCGGTGCTGCCCACATCCTGCTCCCCTGCCTCCATCTCTCTGCTGCCCCAGTCCCAGGCTGGGCTTCTGCCTGCTCCCAGTATCCTGGCTGGGAAACACATCCTCACTGTGCCTCCCAGCAGCCTGCAAGCACCCCCTCCCCTTTCCCAAAGCTTGTTGCCCCCATACATGGAGTCAAATAAACCTTTATCCTCCTGTCAGAGAGCTATGAGCCATATGTCACTGGGGTGCAAGAAGCCACCCTGTGGCTGTGGCCAGGGTGAGGTGGGAGGCAGGCAGTGACTGGGGAAGTGCAGGGTGGTGTTTCAGGGGGTTGGTTGGGAGGGACAGGGCTGGGGAACAAGGGGAGGACATTAGCTGTGTCATGGCTTTGGGCTTGGGCAGGTGCATTCTTGGCTGTGCACCAGTTTGAGACACCCACAGAGGTCCTGTGGTGGGTGGTCCCAGGCAGCATCCCTCGTGTGGAGCAGCAGGATGCCCCACAACTGGAGGTTGGGGTGGAGGCTGTGTGTAGGCAAGCCAGCACACTCACCTGGCCTCATCCTGCGTCTCTGCACCCTAGTCTGCCCCATTAAACTACATTCCCAAATACAGCTCTGAGTCAAGAATATATGGGGGAGTGCTGGGTGCCAGCCCCGTAGAGGGGACAAAGCTCAACATGAGCCGGCCGTGTGCGCTGGCCGCCCAGAGAGCCGACCAGACTCTGTGC